CCTTTTACAGGAGAATTTGCAATGTTGATCTTATTAAACAGAAAATTATCTTGCAACGTTTCTTTATAAAATATCGCATTTGGTTCATTTTTGCAATACCTAAGCCATTTTATTTGTAACCAATTAACTTTACCCCCGTCAGTATTGGTTTTTCTATTACACATGAACTCTTCTGACGGTTTGGTTGAGACAAATTCTTCTCTGTTCATTTCAACTACCTGGAATGAGTTAGTTTTTTGGCAGTTATTACCAAGTCTATCCAATCTCTAGCACCGAAAATAAATTCCTTTTTTCTTGATTTTGACTCGATGACGCCAAAGTCGGCGTCGTTTGGTAAATAACTGTGTCCAGAGACCAAGAATTTGTGGTCAATAAAAGATGTAGTCATTTCTGGTTCTTGCACAAGTTTAAGTAAAGATAAGCTTAATTTAATATTACGGTTTTGGCCCGTGCAACAGTCAGAGTACATAACAATATGGTTATAATTGGTAGCATGTTCTTTCAGGTGTTTCACCAGACATGATGCAATCTCCTGGAAACCCCGAGACTCCTCTGCTTCGTCCCACATATACATATATATTTCACCTTGTAGTATGTCACAGAAGTGCTAAGTTTAGGAAAAGGAAAAGCTTTCATCAGCAGAAAGTTTATCTTTGTTTAACGATTGTCTCGCTTGTTCCGCCTTTCGCCTTTCTCATGTGAAGTTCCTTTTGTGTAACTGCGCTTTGTTTTTTTTTTTACTCTTTTCAAAATTTATAGTGTTCTGAAATTGTCACATAACTGGTAGGTATCTTTAACTGGTACCTTAAAATGAGGATTAAAATATGTGGAAAATACGTGATAGTACATATTTTCCTTAACTGGTTCTGATCCCTTTTGTTGGGATTAAATTGGGGTTTAAGAATCTTTTGTTTGGAGCATCAGCCCGACAATAATAGCTTTTGTAACAAGGAAATGATCGAATGTGTTCTTTGACGCGTGTAATATTTATTTTATTGCTTGGCTCTTTATGCCCCCTTTTATCAATGTAAGCGGATGGTTGTGAGTGATTTGAGATTTTAAAAATACTTGATTCGCTAATTTAAAAATACTTGAGTCGCTAATTTAAAAAGTGTCCATAAACAAAATTTTTACACCCACGAGTTGACATTATTGAGGTAGTTAAAAAATATTTTACTTATTTTGATTTCGGTGGTCTTGAAGAATTCCTCGCACGGCGCTGTTTAATAGCGCTAATTTGACTGAGCCCACGAAGATAAACATTTTGCTTCGTATTTTTACCTAATTCATAAAAGGAATTAAAAATAATTTGTCTTTCTTCAGGTCGTACGTTAGTAAAACAGCGCCGGACACATCCGCAATCAACATTTTCAAATGTTTTTCCAGGTACACTTCTATATCTTTGATTCACTTAAGCTTTTCCAGAATACCTCCTTTTAGCATTTACTACTCGTTTCCATGTACTAGGGTTTCTTCTGCGTTTTCTTCCTTTGGTCTGTCTCCAAGTTTGTACTATCATTATTCTCGATTTCAAGAACCTCTGAAACATCTGAAACAAAATTTCAGAGGTCAAATAACATATGTCAAATAACATATGTCAAATAAACCTTGATAATATAATTAAGAAACTTTACCAGACCCATGTTTATTTTCCTAATTTAACCACTTTAATTAAAAATTATAGAAAAAAAGTATAAAAATGCAGTCACATGAAGACTTCACATTTATTTTTGAGGTTAGGAAATCACTTTCCAGAGCCATCGCCAGAATTAGTTGAATTCTCCTCATTTTTTGGTATAGGGGCCATTCTGGTCATTTTCTATCGATATTCGATCTATATTTTCACTCATTGAGACGTAAAACTCGCCAAAACTTATATTTTTAGCACCGAGATAACATGAACAAGCACAAAATGACTTACATCGATTGACATCTGAAATATTTGCATTTTTATTTGGTGGTTACAATAGGTGTCCCCATCTATTGCTGATATTGTCAAGCAAGGACTTGGGCGTTTTGCCCAATGAAAATATGAACTATAAGATAACACTTAAAGGACTTAACTCAATTTCAAGAAAATATAGACTTAAACTGAATGACTTCTGAACCCTCCAATAATGTAACAAAAAAATAACATTGATATTTTTGTTGAAACATAAACATTAACATTTTTGACAATACAAACCTCATAACAAACAATTACTCAGCAATTTTATCATTTTTGGATTTAAATTCTAAATTAACTTATATATTAGAGTCACTATAGAAAGTAGTTCTTGTATTGACCATGTATTTGTAAGAAATAACAATACTGAAAAACAAAAGCAGTGGTAATTGACACCGACATAACGGACCTTTTCACAATTTATTTCTGTATAAATAGTAAAGATAAAGTAGTTGCCGACAAACTAAAATTAATTATATCCATAAATATAAAAAGATAAAACAGTGGATATCCAATACAATTATAACTTCTATAAAACACAAAAATAAGATGAAGAAACATTACAAAAAAAATAAAGATAATACTATCCCAATAAACACAGTTAATCGGCACCGTAACTGGACCGAAGGAGGCTTGCCGGATGACGGACGGATGATTGTAGCCGCGTTCATATATCAATATATAGTTCGGCCCATAAGGATGCCTCCCGTGCTCGGCTAGCCAAATATTCACCGCGTGCGGCTCGTAAAGATGCCTCCCATGTCTGGAAAGCCAAATACGGACCACATGTGGTTTCTACTTCTAAAATACGTCAAATAGTATGGTCCTCCCGACTAAGAAGCAACCCCGACAACGGCAATCCGAGTATTCGGCTTCCCGTACATTCCAGTGTCAGGCCGAGCGAATTCCTACTATTTGTGGTTTACTGGGATATTGCAAAAGGAATATAAACTATATCGTAACCGTTTAAATAAAATAATTATAAACGCTAAGAATAGTTATTAAACAAATCAAATTAAAAACAGTAGATTTAATGCAAAAAAAAATATATGAAATAATAAAAGATGCTACAAATGAATCCACTAGTAAAAAGTCTATAATGAAAATATAAATGTATTTGATGACAATGCTGAAGAAATTAACAATAATAAAGAAATAACTAACTATTGTAACTAATATTTTTCACAAGTAGGAATTAACATGGCTGACAAAATAGCTAAACCATTAAATAAAATTAATATAAATTACCCAGCATTAGTAGACTCGATGGCATTGATTCCAGTTAACAAAAATGAATTAATTGAACACACAAACTCTTTAAAAACAGTAGCGCTCCTGGGGTTGATGGAATAAGTACGAAATTAATAAAGCGTTGTCATTTTTACATTCTTGAACCTCTTAAGCACATATTAAATTTAATTTTTGAGACTGGAAAAATACCCAGTGTTTTTAAATATACATCTATTTTTAAACAGGGGACTAAGAAACATATTTCAAATTATAGACAGTTAGTCAAATCACAAATTTTGTTAAAATATCTGAGAAATGTTTAAAAATTAGGTTAAATGATTATTTAAAAAAAGCAAACATTCTGATTATAAAACAATTTGGTTTCCAAAAGGGTACAAGTACGAGTGATGCCATGAATGAACTAAAATCAAGCATAAAAAGTGGCTTAAATAATAACAAAAAGAAAATAGGTGCTTTTATCGACCTTGCAAAGGCGTTCGACACTGTTCCCCACAAACAACTTGAAAATTATGGAATAAGAGGAAAAGTGTTAAAAGTATTTGAAAACTATTTAAACGAAAGAAAACAAGTAGTAAAAATAAGGAATAAACATAGTGATATGGTCACGATAAAAGTAGGAGTTCCACAAAGAACAATTCTGGGTCCGATATTATTTATGGTTTGCGTTAATTCATTGTTACATTTAGATATTGAGGGTGTAACAATTTCTTATGCAGATGACACAGTTCTATTGTTTGAAAGCAACACATGGGAGTCTTTGAAAGAGAGAGTTATCAAAGTGATGAAAATTATTAAAAATTGGTTGGACATGAATAAATTATCACTGAATATTTCTAAAACCGTATACATAGCATTTCTAATTCTAATCGACCAATATTTAATGAAATTCACATTTATACTCCTGACTTTCTCATAAAAGAAATTGATACAACTAAGTATTTGGGTGTAAGAATTGATAAAAACATTAAATGGACTCCTCAAATTCAATATTTAGCAAATAAAATTAGAAAACTAATATACAAATTCGGAATATATAGAATAAAAAATTGTTAATAATGATATATCAAGCATTAGTTGAAGATATGGAATAACTATATGATGGTGGGTGAGGTTTTCCGGGTTTTCCTCACCTGTAAGTCAAATGGCACCATCAATCATCTTTAAGTCGCCCCGGAGCGCCACGGCAAATAATAATAATAGCCGTCCCTTCCCCTACACAAGTCGTTCAGTCAACTTCAGGGGTTGAAATTCACTCGTAAGGGGGTGAATTAGGGAGAGTATTATTATTATATATTATTACTATATGGGGTGGTTTATATGAAAACGCATTAAAACCGCTCAATATAATACATAATTACATTCTCAAAGTAATTCATCATAAGATTAGACTATTGTCAACAGTCCTCTTTTATAATGAAACTATCCCTTAACGTTAGTTCAATATACTTTCACGCAAGTTTTTTGTTCTTTTTAAAATTAAAAATTAAAATTATATAAATCACACATATCTTTCCAGGTGCAAAAGCAAAAAAATGTTAAATATTTCGTACTTTAAATATGATGGAAACCAAAGATTTCTCAGTACTATAGGACCAAAAATATGCAATGCTTTACCTTGTAATATAAGACATATAAAAAATATAAAATAATTTTTTTTAAATGCTAAAAAGTTCAGTAGTAATTATAAAAATTTGTCAGCTCTTTAAAATTTCAGTGCTAGTTTCTTCTCTTCGCCAAATCCTAATGTTTCCGTTTCTAAAAATTATTATTACAAATAAATTTACATTTTTTTTTTTTTTTTCAGAGGCGCTAAAGAACAAGTACTCAAAGATCAAAATCTTGCTCCGACTAGAAATAATAACACACCCCCATCGCCTGCCCCTCCATCACCACTACAAGCTTTAAACAGCACAGTAAAGCCACACCTGCACAGGATAGCGAGTCTCGTGAAGAAATAACCCTCTTAGATGCTTTTAAATCCTTCCAAATGTGTATATACCTTCACAGGAGTTTCTGAAGCAAAACAAAAACGAGTGAGATTAGTAATTTTGGAAACGGAGGTTGTAATTTTAGTATTGAGTCAGGTTTATATCTGGGTGAAATTGATTATTTGTGTCAGGATTAACTATCGTCGTTGTTACTGCTAAATAGAAAGTTAAAACACATATTTTGGCCTAAAAATGCAGATATGTTTTAAGGTATCAAGGATGATATGTAATGGATCATTGATATACAGGGTGTTAATAAAATATATGTGGATATTAAAACAGATGAATATTTAAATTCTTAGTAGTTGCAAAAATATATTTTTCTTGAAATAGTACCTACTTATACTGAGACTGAAGTCGAAATAGGTTTCTACAAATCTTGATCACCGACTTCAACTCGGTCGTAATGGAAGCATACAACAAGTACAGTCGATTGCATTGATCCCAAGCTTACAGTTTTCGTGCGTGTTGTGTCCAATGCCATAATTTACTAACAATGAACTGGTGAATATAGTTTTAGTGTATGAGGCTACTGAAGAAATTGCTCGTCAAGCGCAGATTCTTAAAGCGGGCTATTTTCAAATCGTAAACTTTCTTATTCTCGTACGTCTGTAGCAAATTTCCAAAAAAATTTCATGAAATGTTTATGTATAATGCTGATAAAGTTAGTACACGTCGGTCGCAACGATCACTGTACTGGAGAGAGTTGAAATTTGATCTAAAATAAGCTGCAAGGCTTGCCAATAAAGTTGTAAATCCCATTTTGTTATTTGGTGTACACTTAAAGAAGAGAGTTAACAAACAGTGCATGCCTTATGTGTGAGTGACAACCCCTTTCACAAAAATATTACATTATAACTATATATTGTACTTGCCCAGGAATCACGAACTCAACATTGTACTTTGAAGACCTTCTTTAAGAGAATTCGCGTATTACATTTTTGTCTCATTTATTTTCCCTTTCAGTAAATTATGTATTACAAACTGTTTCTTTATTCTGGCAACACTGCATCATAAACTCTTGTCACTTTTTAATATGTACACGTATTTCAATAACGCTCTGTATTCTAAAAGAACAAACCATTACAAAAATTAAATGTAGACCTGATTTAATCTTTGTATAAAATTGTGTACAGAACAGGCCCGAAGTAATAAAAGTAAAGTTTGTATAGTGATATGGCTATTATTGAGTGCCATTGATGTTGAAAGTGAGGTTAGACAATTGAAAGAAGTATTTTCTGAAAAAATGATTGTCATTGTTTATTTTTAATAGTGAAATGCAAGATTCCTAATTATTTTTAAATCCGGATAAACACAATACGATAATAATTTATAAAGGTATTTCCTTCTTGAGTATTGGACATTTCAACGACCTGTCAAACAATAGCTGACGATGGGAAGAGGGTTACGACAAAGCCTTTTATCTTGGACCGTATTTTTATTCGAAATAGTAGTCGTCAAGTCTGCCAGTTTATAAAATATGTATAGTGGTTCTTTTAAAAATAATACCAATACTAAGTTCGGGATGTGGATTCCTTTTCAATCCTTATCTAACATCACATCACTGAGTTACAATGATTTAGTATGGACTGAAGTTAGTTATGGAGTGAAAAGAGTAAAAGGAGCCCACATTCCGAACTTAGCAATTGTGTTCGGCATAAAATATTCAAATTTATTCCATCACTTAGATATACCAACCCTTCCAACCGACAGTTATTTTGTTTGAAATGTCTAATATATAATCAGTTAACTGACAAAATAAGATTTAGATAGTTTTGGCATCGAGGTTAAGAAAGATTACATCGACGTTTGAAAAATATTCAAAATTAGCAAAAATTACGTTATTTGATATTAAAATTGACATTTGTTGTTAGATCTATCGTATTGTGTGTGTAGCATAGTCTGTTGTATATTATGGATACGTAGGTGATATTAATTTTAGTAATGTATGTTATTTATTTTTTCTACTTTTCACATATCAAAGTTATATACCTAGGTTTAACGTTTGAAGTCGAAACTTGCTATGATATTTGTACATAATTTAGAGTTCTTAGAGAAGCTATACGAGTTTAACAAAAGAATATGTCGTTAATAAAAATTTGGCGTATATTAATTCCTGCATATTTTCATTCAATTATAATTGAAAATTGTACAGGGTGGATCTTAAGTTGATACTTTTTTTAACTGTTTTTAATAATAACTTAAAAAACTCAAAAATAAAAAACTTACTATAATTAATTTCAAAATATATCCAAATGCGGGGGAAATAATTGAGATGTTTGGAATTAAAGAGGTATAAATATAGATTTTTAATTAAATGTTGTTTTAAAATTCCCGGAGACCAACTACACGACTTCTGGGCGGCTATCCTCGACAATCGCTAAAAAAACGAACCGTTTTCGAAAGTGAGTGGTTGAAAAGCGAGTAGTTTTTGTAATCTATATTCTTGACCGACGTTCGATGAGTATTCGTTTTTTAAGACGTGTACGTTTTTAACAAGCAAATAATATGTGTGGCATCACTGTAAACTGTCTATATCGTTGAATTCAAGTAATGTGCAGGCCATAAAAGAATAAGGATTATGTAATTTAATTACAACAAACCAATTGTAAATTTGTCGAACGATGATTTTTTTCTAATCACATAATATATATCGATGTTCAGGATAAACTGAATCGTTAATTGTTGGCGTAAAAATAGCTATACGGGTGCAGTTAATGTAATCTATAATTCTAGGAAAATCGTACGTCATAAAAACCTAGTTTTTATGGTAAAAAATTCATTTAACTAATAACTTTGCTTATCTTATTCAGTTCTTTAATATTTTTTGGCAATTTTACAAAATTGTAAAAAATTCTGGATACAACGTGTGATACAGAAGAGCTTTGAACCGCAAGCAAATTAACATTTGTAAATAAAACATACGTAAATTAATAATTAAATTCTTACAAGGTAAGATATAAAAAATATTCATTCAATTTCAGTTAAAATCAAAAACTGGATTCTGCCTCTGCAAGTCTGAATCTTTAAGGATTCTTATCTTCTAAGTTTTCTAATTGTACAATTATTGATAATATAATTGAAAGAAATTCTCAGCTAATGGACTTCTTTAGTACTGCAAACCATATTTATAAGAAATTAGATACTTTTGTGGGTATTAATAAAAAGTAGTTTACCTAGAATTTGTAAAAATCAATCAATATTATTAATCGTCCTAAAAGTGACATATAAGTGACATTGACTAAATCCTTGAAAACATGCACGTTTTATCAAAAACGTGTGAAAAATTCCGCTCGCTGTAAAACACCCGTTTTAAAAGCGTACACGCTTTTAAAACGAATGTCGAGAATAGCGAATAGCTCGTATGTTGCTAAAGCGTATACGTTTTTTAGAAAACGATAGCTGAGGATAGGGCCCCTGGCCGTTATTGTGAAAGAGAAAGACCTTAGAAATATATGTGTTGTATGTAAATATTTGAAATTAGTCAAATATGTGTCAAAAAGTCAAAAATATTAGAAAAAATGCACTTATACTCTTTTAATCTCAATTTAACTTATTAATATGGGCAAATAAAAAATAAAAATATTTAGAAAGGTAGGTTATTTTTTAAAATAAAATTACTCTTATTAATTTTCATAGTTAGATTCAATGATGCCTTCAACTGGCGTTGATGATCCAGGATGCGCTGTAGTAGATTCGTTTAATGGATTTTTTGGAAATTTTCCCGGGAATTTCCGATACATTTTTGTGAATTTCAGCTTATTTTCCATTCCATCTATTCATTATACAAGACGCAATCAAGATAAAACTTAAATTAAAAGAACCATTTTTTTATTGAAAATAACACATTTTCTTCGGCAACAAATTAAAAAATATCTTCTTACTATAACAACACAAATAAAAATTTAAATCTAAAAAAAAAAACAAATAAAATATCAGCCTAGTAGAATATAAAACTATTGAGTATTATGAAAGTATGTAAAAACTAAACTAAACCTGTTTCTGAGCTATTAACCTCATCGGTCACGTCTTCCTCATCAGAATCAGAGTCCTCCGAAGAAGTTTCTGTCTCCGTCTCTGAATCACAATTTATTGGTGATTTTGAAAGGCCTGAAGGTCCAGGTATCTCTGCTTCCGGCAATATCATGTTAGAATGCTGAACACTTTCAGTTACTTGAGTCAAACTAGAAATAGATGGACACTCGTTTTTGTCAAGTGGTACATCCCGTACAGCTATCTTTCCCAGTAATTGGCGATGTACGTTAATTTTATTGCACGCGGAGTTGTTAGCTTGTTCCTTTTCTTTATGTAAACTGCAGAAAATGTGGAAAAAGTTCGCTCAGAAAGAATTTTTACTGCCACTTTTGATAGCTGATTGTTCTGTTCAATGATTCCTTTCCACCAAACGACAGGTGTTACATTCTGTGAAGCAGTCCAAATGAAATCTTTCGCCAACATACCTCCGTGCGCTCTCTAATTGGCAATTTCAACAAGCAACTGCTCATGATTAATTACACGCCTGCGTTTAAATACTCTGTAAAATGTGAATTGAACTTTTCAACTGAAATTGGGTATTTCAGTGGCGCTGATTTCAAATCTGCTTTTAGTTTTTTTCTATCACATAAGGTTTTTATACAAAATACAAGAATGCAAAAAGTAAAAGTATATTTATAGATACTTAGGATAAAAAAGAAAATAATAAACCAAGAAAACAAACAATAAAACCGGGAAGTAGTTAAAAAAATAACATACATTAATCCTTTGTTTTCTTGAAAAATCTTTCTCTCTTTCCGGAAAAGCTTCTTTTTGTTGTTTTTCGTGCATATTTTGCGGTAGGACGGTCCCGTTAAGCATCCAACAGTAGTCGGCCATCATTTTGATATCCCAGCGCGCTTGATATCGCCGTTCCATCTCTTTTATGTCCTGGTGAAAGCGCTCCCATTGCTCTTCACTGACATCGCCAATATTATCTGAAAAATAGTCTTCTAAATATGTCCAACATGTTTTCAACAATACTTTCAAATTCAGGATCTTTGTAGTTTCCGATCTTTTAACGATTTTTATTTTCTGTAAAAGCTTACCAGTTACTCAAGTAAATGCTAGAAATGCTGATCCTGGGCCTCCATGCAATAATAGAGGTTTTGTTCAAAATGATCTCGGATATTTTGAAGCATCTGTGGGGTGATTTGATGACATTCATCAATTATCTGTTGTCGCAGATTTTCCAGTGATGTTGGCTGGGTGGCATAAATTTTAGTTTTTAAGTGGTCCCATAAAAATATCCAACTGGCTTAGATCCGGAGACTGTGGGGACCACTCAATACTTCCTCTTCTTCCGATACTGGAAACGTTTGATCCAAATACTGACGAACAGTGGAGCACCATCATGCTGGAATATTAAGTTGTTTACTATGTACCTACTGATCGTCATTCTCAAATCAACTCTAGTGAAGCTGGATAAATAGCGTTTTCTAATAATTCCAGATACATTTCTGCGGTTAAAGTTTGTGATAAAAAAAGGGGTTCTATTATACGGTTACTAAAAATGCCATCCCAAACATTCAGTTTTTCCATATGTTGCGTAAGCACTTCATGAAATATTCTGGGATTTGAATCGGACCAATAACGACAGTTGTGACAATTTACCGTACCATTAAGGAAAAAAGTGCATTGTCTGAAAAACACACGTTGAAAAGAAATTGCTGATCATTTAATGCCCGTTCAGTCATAATTTCACAAAATTGAATTCGCCTATCAAAATCGTCTTGGTTAAGTTATTTTACCAGATGTATTTTTTTCAATATTTTCTGAATGCTACGTCTCTTAATACCAGATGTTATCGCCAACTGTCTTGTACTCAATATGGGTTCTTAAACAACATGTCCTAAAATCGCCACCTCTGTAGCTTCATTTACTATAGAATTTTCCATTATTTGTTAGCTACTGACCCCGTTTTCCAAAATGTTTGGACTAACTCCAAAATGTAGTTTCGATTTTGATGTTGATTGTTAAACAGTTAGGCAGTTCTATTAGCACATTCATTGTTCGCAAAAAAAGTGAAATTATTTGCACCCTCTCAGCAATAAACCATTATCACTGATATGCCACTTTTATGCCGACTTTACAACTAAACCTTACTACTTTACGGCGACCAAAGAATGTCATCTGATAATAATTGAAAGCCACAGGAATAAAAGTAGAATTTTTACAAAGAATTCCTTTTTTTTTAATAATGTAAAAATTATGTTAAACCGTTTTTGTACTTTTGGTGAGCCACAGTAGCGATGTAAAACTTGAGGGTTATTATCTAGGTAAAAATACCTTCAAAATAACATATCATTCGACCAATCTTTCCATTTAAGATATAACTGGTGAGTCTCGCCCCCGATAGAGGGTTTCCGCTCAGGGGGTGAAACTGCCAAAATAATGTTTCTCCCTAAAAAACAAAATTGACGTGTCTAAGCGTTTTTTAGTAGATAACCTGGTTTCTCGCCAGCAATACTTAGAGAGCTGTTTCTAACTCTAAATGGTGCTTCTTACGGTGTTTTATCGGGAGCAACTTTCACATGTTCTCCCTTTTCCTCTCAAGCATTTGCTCAATGGCGCTTTACAAAGATCTTGTCTTGATAATTGTAGACCGTTATTAATCTTTCTTTTTTGACGTCATAGGGTTTTATACACCAAGAATAAAAAACCCTTAAGTCCAAATTTAACGCGTTGTCTATGACAAGACACGGCGACTTTTTTATCACAAAAAACACAGCTCCGAACTATATTTTATTGAGGCATCTGTTGCTATATCAACTTGGGCCACGACAGCTTCTTCATTTCACTTATTGACACTTTTTGTTCGCGTTGTGCTATGGGTGCTCCGCACCCTGTTTAAAACTGCTCTGGGTGCTTGCGCACCCAGAATCCCGAGAATTCGGCGCCTATGTCGGGGAATCCCCAACAATATTCTAGTAAGTACCGGTAAATCCCCCTACAAATGCACAAATTAAAACGAGGGTTTAACGCGTCTCAACGTTTTGAACAAAAATAAGGAATACAAATTAATTTGTTTGTGATGTTCATGATACTAGTTTACAAAAAAAGTTTACGCGATAGAATAAAAAGGGGGTTATTTTAGCTATATAGAAGTTGTAAATAAGTAAAAAAAAATAAAATGGGTAGATCACAAAATTTTCGCGGACCTGTGTTATTGGAGAAATGTGAACTTCTTGCGAAGCTAACTATGTATTCAATGGCACCGAGTTGTTCTTCAGCACTTAAGTAGCAACCTTGCGCCTTTAGGTCTAATAGACAAGATGCTTTATGGATAGATGTAAGCGCATAAGCTTTTCTTACCAAATATTCATCCATAAAATTTTTCTCCTCATTTTTCTGTAACACAGAGCGGTAAGTTTTTCGCTATGCTTTCTTGAATTTCACTGAATGCTTTGAAACATAGATGTATTGCATCTTCGTTGCTTTCTAACTTTAAAATCCAGTTTACTACTGGCTCCATAAGAGCTTTGGTACTTTCTATACGCACCAAGAAAATTTCCTCATCCACAAGCGTTTGTTTTTTATCGCGGCCCAATATATTACCATCCTCTTCATTTAGAGCCAAAGTTTGCATACTTTCTTTACAAACAGACATCGATTGTAAGCAAAACAATTGGGAACCCCAACCGGTAGTAACTGGTAAAACCAAATTTTTGGTGCAGTTTTTTGCTTTTCTAATTCCATCAAAAATACTATTTAACACTTGGGAGTGTTTTATACATTTAATTATATCTTTGACTTTATTTATGAAGGAAATCATCTAAGTCCATAATAATCAGGTGCAATGTATGTACCAAACAGTCATTTCTTGAAATATGTGGGAACATCTCGCTAATAGAAGCTGTAGTCTTTTTCATATTAGCTGCATTATCAGTTATGATAGCTATACACTTATTAGGGTTATACTGATTGAGTACGTTCACAGTTTCTATAGCAATATATTCTGAAGTATGGCGATGTTCTTTTGTCTCTAAAATTTTGATGTAAAACATTTTTTGCTCTGCTGTTGTTACAACAAAATTAATGATGCCTTCTGATCTTATATTCGACCATCCATCTAACTGCAAAGCTAAATGGTCAGATTCAGCAATAGTTATTTCTATATCACTCTTGACTTCATAATGAGAATCCAATAATGTAGTTGACAACGTTTTTCTTGTTGGAAGAGCGAGAGCATAAGAGGGGTGTAAGAAAATTAAAATATCTTTCCAAAATTGAAGCTCTACCATGGAGAGAGGTCTTCCTGATGCAAATATTGCTTTTGCTAATAGGTTGTTAGCTTTGGCCTGGGGGTCGATTCTCGACTCGTAGGAATTTTTTCCTATAGGAATTTTTGACATTTTTCTACACATCGGAAATTTATGACATTTGTCTACATGTAGGAAAATGTCACAAATTCCTATAGGAAAAGGTTCCTACAAGTCGAGAATCGACCCCCTGCAAAGAAAAAAAATATTTTGTGCCTTAGTTAAAAATATTTTTGTTCAGACGCCAATACATTAGTCCCATTCCATTCTATACTATAAAGCATAAAGTAAAAAAATCTTGAGAATACTTATTTTCAGTGCCATAATTATTAAAATAAAGATCCCTTTGACTACTTGTCTAAATGTTGATTTTTAAAAATGAAGATATACTATACAACACAAAACAACTACAACCAAACGACTATTTTAGTAACCTTTTCAGAAACACTCATGTGATCAAAAAATGTTTAAATATCTCTTGACCTTGACCGACTTGATTTAGATGATGTAATGGATGTTGCAACGGTGTGCGTGGTTGTACATGTAATATTCGAAACATCTGATGTTGCAGTAGGGTTGATCTAATCGAACTGACATGGACAACACTAGCAGATTTATAAAGCCCCTTCTTCAAACCGCTCTTAATTTCATCCGGGCATTTACTACATTTATTTAAAATGTGCTTAGTCATAATCTTCAAAAAACCGAACTCATTAATTCGTTTAATTTTTTATATACAAGTTCAATCCCGGATTTAATTTTATTTATTTTTTTTATTTCTTAATTGTGAATAAAATAAAATATTTAAAAAAGTATTAACTGTAAAGAGGATTAAATTAGTCTTTTTGGAGTTATTATAAAGAGTTAGTAGGATATTAGTTTTTGAATAAAAAGTCAAGTAGACATATGTTTTTTTAATAATTTTGGAATAATCAATGTCAGTTATTGGAAATAAAAAGAAATAAAAATCTTATAGGTTCTTTAATTACAAATAAAGTAATCTATATCAACTTAGAATTCACCGTGTGTACATAGTTTTTGAACTTTTCTTATTTCATTTAAATGATTTTAGGTCCTAAAAATATATTAAGTTAGTTATCAATTCTGGAAAACCATAAAAACAATTTGGGGATTCATTTTTATTATTTGCAAGTTTGTATATCTGTAAACTACATTATATACAGTGTGAAAACCACTTGTGGCCTATTTTAAAAAGTTATAAAAAACGCTAGAACACGTTAACTCTTAAACTAATAGTACGTTCTACGAACGATAATATAAATTTACAGGGTGATAAAATATACATAAAATGATACAAGCTGTTCAATTAAAAAAAAAAAAATACCGACAGTGCAAGACTTACATGAATCACCTTGTATACATTTTTGTTTTGAGGACGCACAATTTAGTTTAAAAGTTGATGCGTCTTTTATAATTTTCTAAAATAAGGCCAAAAATTATTTTATTCCATAAGTGGTTTCCACGCTCTATAATATACATAAAAAAACTCAAAACGTTTGTGTAAAATTTATTAACAGAATGATATGTTTTTCTTTAGCTTACTGAAGTATTCAAAGATCCCTATTTGACTAGTTTTGGAATTGTTACTGCCAAAAATGAAGACGAAATTATTTGAAGTAATCTTTTGTTAAACTTTTATTGTTAATAGAATAAAACTTAGATATACTATTATTGTGTTTCTTCAGAAATACTAGAGAGGATGTCCTCTTAAAATCCTGCAAAATATTTAAATAATAAATTTTCGATTTTCTGCGCTTTTTATGATATTCTAGTACGTGTAAGATGTTTGACAATATCAGTACCATTTTTATTCTTAATTGTAAAAATGATCAAAATCTTTTGAAAGGTGTGTATTTTTTCCTCACATGAAACGCTAAATAATTATCCAATTGAAGTTAATTTGAAAATGTCCATATACAGGGTACAAATCTTATGGAAAAGTTCGATATTTTTCCGTTTATAAAAGATTAAAAAATGTATTAACAAAATATTAGAAGAATGGAAAAAATAAGAGTAAGCTAAAATAAGGTCAACTCGGGAAAGTGCATACCTTCAATTTCAAAGTTGACTTTAAAATCAAGATAAAAACTAGAGATTTATTTATTTATTTATTCACGGGTAACCCCATTAAAAAAAAAATACAATATTAATTAGAATAAAAACAGCAAAATAAATACTTAACAAAATACTAAACTAATACTAATATAGGTAATATAAAATACTATATAAAATATAACGGCATCAAATAACAATTATAAAATCAGTTAGAAAATGAAGACAAAAAAAAAATGTTAGACTTCCATATTATTTAAATAAGTCCTGAGAGCATTAATAGTTCCAAAAATATCACAATTTTTACATTTCAACTTATTACATTCACGTAACATTCGACTTACTGGTGAATTAAAGGCATAATTAGTGGTATGTAGTGGTATATTAAATAAGTCGAATTGTCTAGTCCTACTAAAGGTATTAAAATTAATAAGACCTACTGCTTGAGGAGAATCAATATTCCCTGTTAACAATTTATTTATAAAAATTATATCAGAAACTGTTCTTCTAAAGTGAAGTGATTTTAAGTTTAATTGAGAATTAATTGAAGCATATGAGTAATCTCCTCTTATATAACCCATTTTATAGGCGCATATTCTCAAGAATTTATTCTGAATAGTCTCAATTTGATGCTTATGAGTATTGTAATATGGATTCCAAATAATCGAACAGTATTCTAATTGTGATCTTATTAGAGAACAATACATCGTTCTGAACGTATAAGCAGAAAAATCCGTGGATGACCTAGAAATGAAACCTAATAGTTTTGATGCCTTTGCTGTTATCATATCTATATGTGCCTGAAAAGACAATTTACTATTCATCATGACACCTAAATCTTTAATGGTATCAACTCTTGACACACTATGATTGTTAATTTGATAGTCATGTATGATGGGCGACAAAATTTAGCTAAAAGATATACAGAAGCACTTCTTAATATTTAGATCCATTTGGTTTAGATTGCACCATATATTCAGGGAGTCAAGGTCTGTTTGCAATTCAATTATATCAGAATGTGAATTAATAGATTTGAATAACTTAAAATCATCTGCAAAAAGTAGGTATTGGCTAAATTTTAATGTATCACAAATATCGTTAATAAACAGATTAAATAGAATAGGTCCACAATGAGAACCTTGAGGTACACCTGAAGGAACTGTAATCTCATGAGATACAACACCCGCAATTTTCACGCTTTGAAAACGATTTGTTAAATAACTTTGAATCCATGTCAGCATGACACCCGATATTCCAATATTTTTTAGTTTGTTTATAAGAAGTTTATGGTTTACTCGATCAAAGGCTTTTGAGAAGTCTGTATAGATCGAGTCAACTTGTGACTTATTTTCTAAAGCATTAATTATGTAAGTGTTGTAAAGCAAGAGATTAGTCACTGTTGACCGACCAGGACAGAAACCATGCTGTTCATTAATGATGATGTTTTTACATTCCCAAGATAAGAACTTACTCATGAGATAATCGAATGCTTTAGGAATATCGGACTGGATACAAACAGCTCGGTAGTTTTCAATTTTCTCTTTTGGGCCCGATTTATAAATTGGTTTCAAAAAACTATGTTTCCAGAAATTTGGAAAGATTCCTGATTTAAGGGATATGTTAAAAACGATTTTTAGAGGATTAGCCAAAGTATAAATGCACTTTTTTAAAAAATAAGTTGGAATCCCATCTGGACCATGGGAAAATTTCGATGGTAGACTGTTAATTTTTTCCATAATGTCGATTACATTAATTTGATAGTTTGATATATTCACAGTATTCTTAAAATTATTTGAAGGTAAATTTTGTACATTGTCGGTAGAAAAAACTGATGAAAAGAACTTGGCGAATTCATTCACAATGCTGACAATATCATCGAAGCTCTCAGAGTTATTAGAGGTCATGGATTTTGGAAGATCATGGGCTTTTCTTTTGTTATTTATGTAGCTCCAAAAATATTTAGGATTAGTGTTAATATTATTTTCCATCTTTCTGTTATATTCTGTGAAACAAACTTCAGATAGTTCCTTGCACCGCCTACGTAAATCACTAAATAGAATATAATCGTGGTGTTGATTGAATAGCTTGTATTTCTTATGAACTCTTTTTTTTTCAGCTACTAATTTCTTAAGTTCAACATTAAACCAACAAGGAAAATTGGATAATGAATATTTTTTCACTGGTACAAATAAATTGAGTGCCGTATAAATTTGGTCATAAAGAAATTCAGTTGCTTCATTAGCACCTAACAAAGACATTTCATCCCATTCAACGTCTGCAAAAAAGTTGTTAATGCTGAAAAAATCTGCGTTTCGAAAATCAAAATTCCACTCTTCCGCAATGTGATTTAAATGGGAGTCATGGGTTATTATATTAATTTCTAAAGGCACATGATGTATGCTTGAGGGAAAAAGAGGATCTAAAGCCTTAGACACAATTAAATTTTCAATTTGTGAAAATACCAAGTCTAACATTTTTAGTCTAGAATTTGCAATGACATTTTTTTGATAAACATTTAAAAAACTTAAATTATTAACTATAATTTTAGCAGGTGAGTTATTCGAATATTCAGCCTCTAAGCCTAAGTTATCATTCTTCCAAGTAACATCAGGGATGTTAAAATCACCACATAGCACCAAATCACAATCGGGCTTCTCAAGTACAACATCAACTACGCCGTCACAAAAAGTTTGATATACTTCGTGACTAGAGGAAGGAGGAATATAACAACATCCCAAAAGGATGTTTTTACCATTTGTTTTTACTTGGACAAAAACATGTTCTACCATATTTATTTGGGCTGGAACTGAACTGGCTGAATATAATGTTCTTACAGCAATAAGTACACCACCGCCACGTTGTAAATGATTATCTTGTAGATCGCAACGATCCATACGAAAAATATTAAAATCACTAAGACCCAATTCAGAATCACTATAGTCCGAATTTAACCAGGTTTCACACAAGATGATTGCATCGTAGTTGCATAAGGCGACTGATTGATGAAGATCTCTTAACTTTGTTCTCATACCGCCAACATTGTGATAAAAGACACGAAATTGTTTAACATCAATTGCTGAACAATTATATGAGGTACCCGGGTTATTTAGTTTTTTTGGTCAACAATTTGAGGAGTTCCTCGAATATATTTAATTGTTTTGTTTTCCCCATTCGCCTTACGGCTCTCTAAATCTTTTCGTAGATTATCTAAGTAGGTTTTTTGGTGAGGAGTGAGATCGGATGTTACCTTGATTCCATGAGTATCTATTGCCCTTACATTTTTAAGAATATGCAGAACATCATCATTTGACTCGAAAATAATTTTCACTGGCCTTGGATTAGCACCAATCCTTCCAACCCTTATCACTTTTTTAATTTTATTGGGTTCTATGATATTTGCAAGTATATTTTTAGCA